AATACCATGGTGTTCTCTTCTGCCTTATTGGACGAGGAGACTTTAGGAGATTCCAAGCTGTCTTCCCCAAAAGCCCCAGGTGGAGTTCCTTTTTCCTGCAAAGTTCTTTTTGTCATTGGGTTACTCTCCGTTGATGCTAAAGGTTGCCTTTTTGAGGAGTAATCTTTCATCTGACTCTTCAAACCAGTGGGGGAAGTAGGAAGAGCATCCAACTGATTCTTTTTATAAGATCTTCTCCTTGCAGGGGTTGTGGTTGAAGCATGTTGTTTACCTTTGTCAGCTTCAGTCTTGGACGTGCCTTTGTGAGCAGATCCAGCTTTTAGGTCTGGATTATTACCTGAAGAAAAGGAATTCCGTTCAGGAGTCTGTTGAGGAGACTTCAGTTTTCTTTCTGAGGTTATTACCTTGTCTGGAAACCCCTCAGAAGATGCATCATCCTCAAAAACAGAATCTTCTCTGGCAGTATTCTCCGTCTGGTTTCTCTCTCCATTTGTGATGTCACTAGATGACTGAGATTTTCTCCTTTTCCCAGATCTTTTACTAGAAGATTTCTTATCCATTGTGTCCGAGTCACCACAATTTTCTTCCGATATAACAGTCACGGGTTCATTAAGGAGTTCGTCTGTTTTTCTAAGATAGATATCAACTGTTAACACTCTCGCAGGCTGCGGGTGTTCACTTGCTAGAGTTTCCGGCTTGTATAGCAAATCCTTTGGCTTTGCATGCCCAGGCTCTTCAGACACCCACGTGTTCACCAGATGCTTGTGGCTTAAGATACTCTTTTCTAAGTCTTCGCTAGACAAATTCCTCAAACTTTTTATAAAATCTGGAGTTGTGGAATTATTTATATCTGTGACTGACCCCTTCTCTGGTTCCCGGGTGTCCACATTCAAACTACTCTCAAAGAAAGAGTTTTTAATGGTTTCGCTGCTGCTGCTCCAGTCTGGTGACCACTCACTGTCAGAGGATACTCCTCGACCACTCCATTCTGAAATGGTATCGTGGTATAGAGGTCCTACTTCCCCACTGAAACTATATTCTTGTGTCTCAGGAACGACACTCGTGTTTCTCACTTGCTTCTGTACCGGAGGAGATTCAGGACCTTGCTGTATATGTTTACAGTGAATGGGCTGCGCTGTGTGAGGCGAAACTGACCTCTCTCCTTTCCAATGAGAAGTGTGTTCTAATGAACTTTTGACATTTTTCCTTTTCCCTGTACCAAACAAATTTCCAAGTCTTTCCAAAACTGGTTTCTTTTTATGCTCTTCTTTGGAACAATCTGGAAATTGTGAGGAGGACTATTTAAAAAAAAAAAAAAAAAAAAAAAAATTGGTTAAGGTCAAAAGTGTTTGTTTAATAAGCATATTTGTCTTAATTTCATCTTGAATTTAAAAGGATACAATGAATAGGAAAACAAAGCAAAACCAAGACAAAAAACACATACTAAATGATACTAGCTCTAATGAAACAAACAAAAAACCCTCAAAACACAATTAAAATCCCAAGATTCTCCTTATGCCTTTGCCTGTGTTTGTTTACAACACTCTTACCTTGCCCTACAATAGCAGCGTTGTATGTCCTAGATCTCAAACTGTTGCACAATTAGTTAACATCACCTGAAGTAATATAGTATTCTGGCGTTGGTAGGGCTGGGGAAACACGTTGCTTGGTCAAAATTAGAGCATGGAGTTTGCCAAAAAAAACGGCATGGACTTGAACTGTCCATATTGGTTGACAGTTTGGAGGCTGCTGGTGGTAGAAATGAGCGTAAGTTACTTTTCTTACGTTTCATTTTTTACATTTTTCCTTAACGAAAGCTCAAAACAACAGGAGCCACTGCATCATTCAATGAGCATTACCGGGTCAAACACTGCCCTGCATCACTCCCCGTGAAGTTTTCCCTTACAACTTCTAATTAACATGGTAAACAGGAAACACGCAATAGCATTACCGAGCACAGAAGCCTATTTGCATTTTAATATATTAGCACTTTTTACATGCCGGCACGATGAATACGTGTTTTGAGCTGTTGTATTTCCAAACGCCGCGGACGTTTCCTACTCCGTCCCTTCGCCCTTCCCGATGCTCTCCACGCCGGCTGCCGCCGCGCGTTTTCAGGGCTTCCTTTCTCCCGCAGACACCGCGCTTCCCTCCCAGCGCCGCGCCTTTCCCTCACACCCGGGCACGGGACGGCTGCGGGTTGGCTGCTGGTTAGCTGAGGGTTGGCTGTCGGTAGGCTGCGGGCCGCGCTCCCGCTCCCGGCACAGACGGGGCAGCGCGGCCGCTCCTCCCCGCCCTCGAGGACGCCCACGGGCACCCGCGCCCTCCTCCGCCCCGCGCCCTCGAGTCCGCCGCCGCTGTTCCCCTGCCCGGGACGAGGCGAACGACGGAAAGGAGCCGGACTTCACCCATCCCCGTCCCGGCCGCCCCCATCCCGCCCGGCTCCGCAGCGCAGCGCCTCCCCGCCTCGCCCCGCCGAGTGAGGCCCCCCACACTCACCGCCCAGCGCGCCCCGGCTCGGAGCTGCCCCGCACGCCGCTACCCCGGCGCCGGCCGTCTGGGCGCTCCGCCTCCGCCCGCCCCCGCAGCGCGCCCCGGCCCGCCCCGAGCCACCGCCTTCGCCGCGGGCAGCGGCTCTACCTGGCCGGGCCGCCTCCGCCGGACGGCGAGGAGGGGACGGGGTGCCAGGCGAGAACTGTTAGAGGCGGCGGAGGGCGAGCGGGCGGCCGTCCCGCAGGAGCTCGGGCGGCGTGGTGGCGGCTGCGACGTTATTGAGGGCAAAACGCCGCCGCGGGCAAAACCGACGCGGTGCTGATACCGAAGGACGAGCGCCACGGAAGGCGGGCCGGGCTCTGCGCAGCCCCACCTGCGGAGAAGCGAGGCGAGGCGGCGCTGCCGTCCCGACACCCGCTGCCATGGGCTGGGCCCGGCCTCCCCCGGGCCCGGCGGCGCGGAGGTGCCGAGACCCGGTGATGCACGCCCGGAGAGGCGGCCGGGGCCGGGCCCTCCCGGCAGATCCGAGTTCAAAGCCCCGCGGGGCGATGAATCGCATTTTCCGCCTCACAGCCACGGGCCGGCGGGCGCGGCTCCACGCCGCCTGTGCCGCCGCCTTGGCCCGCCCCTGGCGCGCCGCCCGCGGGCCGGGGCCGCCTGGGGCAGCGCTGCGGGGCCCGGGGTGGTGGTTCGCCCCACGCCCGGGCGGCTCCCCCCTGCCTGCCCCGTCCCCGGCAGGGCCGGCGTGAGAATGACTCCGCTGCCTAATGGAGCCGGCGCTCTCCCCGGGCGCTCAATTAGTATTTAATGTTTAATGAATGCTAAACTAGTCCTCTTCTAATTAACGCTTAATGACTTAAATGAAGTGGAACAGCTTCGTCAGGAAGGACCACCACGCAAACTCTTGCTCGGGCTCAGCGCGGAGGCGGAGAGACACCGGGTCAACCCCTGCGGCCCGGCCCACAGCGAGTCACCCTCCGGGGCAATTTAAAAGATCGGGCGTTTTTTTTGCGCAGTAGGTGACTTATTTTTGCATAATCAGCAGAACAGCTGCTGGCCTCTGTTCTCAAACTCCTCCAAGTGTGAGGAGTTATAAAATGCTCCTGGATGGCTCCACTGAGCCTATCTGCTACTGGTGACACTGTATGCAGAAAGTAAGCTTTCCCAAGCACCCAAAAACTTTAGAAAGACTTAAAATGCGGAAATTCACAGTTGGCACATCATACCCCAACAAAACAAAAATCCATGAGACCCTCCCTGTCCTTGCCTGCTTTTCTTCAGTATGTTGCCTATACAACTGGTAAGCAATTGTACCCCTACTGAAGTCCTGTCTCTGTGCACATAGTGACCTCACTGGCAGCTCTTAAATGGGCAAATTAATCATCATGATCCTTCAAGTTTTGGTGGTTTGTTTTCTACATTTTCTTTTATGTATTTGTAGAGAGAGTGACATAATCTGCAAATGAGAAAACTTGATGTTTGTTGTTTCCCTCCCTTCAGTGACTGCTTTCAACCAGCCAAACCAAAACATTCAATTAAATGAAGAGGAACATTGAAAGCTGCATAAAGTTCATACACCTCAGACGGTTTAGGTGCTTTTGTGATAACAAAACCAGCTGTAAACTTCCCTATCACATAAAACAATCTTGTGTAGCGTAGCCCAATTAGTATCTGTTTATTGTTATTATTCCTATTCTGCAAATGCATTGCCAGTACTAATTAATTGTAAGGAAGGTATAAGGACTGAACATCGTTTGTTATCTAAAAAAAAAGTAAAAATGAGAAATTTGCACAACCAATTAAAGCAAGCCAATAAGCAATGAGTAATGTCTCTGAAAATCCATAGTAATTGCAAGTGTGAGGAGGATGCACTATATTAGTCATGTTAAAAACTGCCAGAAGACCAAAACAGGGGAAATTTAACCTGATTATGGTTTCAATCTGCATATTACTATTCAGCTAAAAAATAATTGTGGGTCCTCTAAATAACTTGGGATTACATTATCAACCTGACAGCCATTATTACACTTGCAGTCAAGGTTTGGGTTTGCAAGATTACATTCGGAAAAAATTAGTTATTTGAACTGTGGATCTGGATTTCTCACTTCCCAGCGGTTGATTTTCATAAAGTCCATGGGAACTTAATTATCTTTGAGACGTCTCCCCCTTTCAAATGTAGTTTAAACTGTCCAACGAGTTCAAAAGGTGTTGGAAGGAAAGGAGTAGGGATAGCCAGCCAGTCCAGTCACATAAGCCTTATTTCCTCAGGGAACAAGGCTGGATATTTTTGCTTGATCTTGAAATAGCTGCCCTATGTAAACTGTTTTGAAGTAATTTCTTCATACAAAGTACTTTAATTACATACAGCTCTTTCAAAACACATAAAAGGCCAGGCACTTGCCCTGAAGAGCTTGTATTTTAACTCAGATAAATGTAGATGAGCCAGTATTGCCAGTGCAAGAGGGCACAGAGACCAAGGTTCTCAGGATACGAATACGTGGGGCTAACTTGGCAGAGCACAACAAATAAATATTTGATTTTCAGGGAGCAAGAAGTGTCCTTTCTCTGCTGAACAGGCTTCTTCAATGTGTTTCAGCTTAAGCATTCTCAACATGGAGAAATTAGCCATTTCAGACATTCCCGATCAAAGGCTACAGGAGTGTCAACTTTCAAGAAAAAAAAAAAAGGTGAGCCTGTGTCCTTGGACAGAATGCAGGAAACTGTTTCAAGTATACTGCAGCAGTCTTTCAAGTTGTGTTCTAATCTGAAAGCAAGATGCTTTCTTCTTAATCAAGAAATGTAAATCTTGTTTGTGTTTATATTCATACCTCTTTATGTTAGCATCAAAATATTTCCTCTGTTTTTGGCTGGGGTTTTTTTCCCTTTTTTTTTTTTTTTTTCCCTTTCTCATTAACTAATGTAAGATGCCACAGCCAAACCCCTAATTTAACCAAGTAATTAAACATGTGCTTTGCTGGTCTCCAGCGGAGAGTATGCATAAGCAACTGTGATTTGTTGAATCAGAGCTTCAGGCTCAGTCTTGAGGGATCAATGGGGTGTTATTTTGCTGGATTACTTCATCTGAGTCAGTTGAACATGACCAAGAACACTTCTTAGGGCATACATTATAGAAAAAAGTAGTATTTTTACTAGTCATTAGCAAGCCTGTAGTAACTAATAGGGGGAAATATCTAATGTGGATAGTTCTCTTGCAATTTAAATGTGTTATTTGATAGCACATGTTAGTATTCAGAGCAGAAAAAAAACCCAAACAAATATTTAGTGACGTGTAAATTTGGCTTTGTCATTCACTAGAAGAGCATGGATTTCAAGTAACATGCAAACTTTTGATACCCCTCTACTTTGAATGTTTCTGATACTATAGGTACCAGCCTTCTAAGTTAATACTGGAATGCCAGGAATTTGGGATCTCTTTAAATCCATAGTATCATAATTCTTACAACCACAAGAATCAGAAAGTCTCAGAGTTCTATCAGTCATATGGTATCCCAAGAAGTGCATTAGCCAAGAACATTTAAATGAACTACTACTCTTCAGGCTATACTGTTCTTCACAGTGATTGACTCAAATGTTCAACGTTTGCAGTGCTAGGCTTTGTCAGGCTGAAAACTTTGCTGGAGTATTGTTGTCAAAATGTGCTGTAAAAGTAGTACAAGGACTAGATGGAAAACTATAAACATAAAAGCTAAGAGAAAAGCCTGAGCAGCATAAGAGCCACTCAATATCCTGCTTCCAGTGCAACTGAGGGAAGACCACCCCACTCTCCCACTTCTCAGGTGAGTGCCCTAACTACTGGTAGAAGGGAAAAAGGGAGTTGTAAACAGAAACGAAAGCTTGCTGGTTTTGCTTGTGCTCTTATTTAAAAAGCATGGGAAAAAAATAAAACAAAACAAAACAAACCATTTAACCCGAAACAGTTTGGAGAATTTTGTGATCATGAGGGATAAAAAAAGCAATTATATTTCAAGTTAACCTAAATGATTTCTACTTTTACCTGATCATCAGTAAACCGGATTTGAATCATTTCAATTCACTAAAATAACTTTTCCTTCTTTATACTGACCCTTCACAAAGCCACAGAAGAAGGCTTACTATTATAAATACTCTATCCCACACGCTGCCTTCCTCCAAGTAACAAAGCTTTGGCACCCACACGCTACACATTTTTAGCATTTCTTTTAAATCCATCAGATTCCAGGTTGACAGTTTCCTCTTCAGACGCAGAGAAAGAAATCCGCTGCAAAGTTAACATGTTGATCCAAGCATGGAATTCACTCCCTCCGTCTTACGTAAGAGTAACATCCATCTACTGCTGTTTCTGACAATTTCACTTTTACCTGAGCTCTTTATACAGGGAATGCAGTTCCAGAGACTGGGGAACTTATCTGAGTAACCAGGGAGCTATAAATACAAGACTACTGAGCAGAATGCAGTGAAATGAAGTTTTTACTGACAGTCGTCTTTTTCCATGAACTACTTAGGTGTCCTATTTTCCACTACAGATGTTCAATAGAACAGGACCTGTTTCCAATTTATTTGTTCACTGTTAAACTAAATCTGTAGTTCAAATGTATACTGAAAATTGACCATTTTGCAACAGCATCTAGAATAACGCTAATATTGAGGCTATATGTTTCACTGACTTTTTTTTTATAAAGGAAATATTCAGCTCATGAAGCAGAGATGTAAGTATAAATTCTGTATTATTTCTTAGATGCCAAAATAAGATATTTATATATTGAATATATATATATACATATATATGAGCAATCCTGGAAGCAGCAAATTGTGCTCAATCAAACAAATAGAATTACTTACAGAAAACTCAGCAAAAGCAAAAAAGCACAAATACAATTTGAACAGATAATTAAATCAGTATTTAGGAAACAAGGTTGATAAAAAAGAACGGGCATGTCAGAAAAGACGTGCCTGCTCCCATCTCCTCTTCCCCAGAGCTAGTTATTTCCATACACTAAAATCTTCACCCCCTCCCCTTCTGTCAGCATCTGCTATTTAAAGAGACACTCTATAAAACCAATGGTAATCAAATTGATTTCACAATTAAAAAATCAATTGTGCAGGAACCCAAAGATTTCTGCTGGGGTTTAAGGAAAAAAAGGAAGAGTACCATTTGCCTTACCATGATGATGATAATTCTTTTTGCTGTTTACAGAAGAATAAACAAACTACGGTGTGTGTGAGGTGCAGTCCTGCTGTCATTAACCAAACCCTTTTTCTCAGCAATCCTCCCACACTTTAACCCCTTCTTTCTTCTGGCAGCACTCAGTGAAAAAAAAAAGCAAAAAAGGAAGTAGTATCTGAAATGAGCCTTTCCAACTGATAAAGTCATTAGGCAGACAAATTATAGCTATGAAAGGGACTCAGTCACAGAACAAGAGAAGAGCTGCAAAGGGTGGCAGCAAATCCTTCAGTAAGCACCACAACAGAAGTGGAGAACCTGCTGCGAGGAGCGATGAAGTTGGTGTTGGGCAAAAAGCTTACATGCATTCATTAACATGCAATACTGAGACGTAGATATGCAACAGTAGGAAAAATGTACCACACACGTTGGCTCTCACAAACTTGATTAAAGTTTTTTGATCCACGTTTAAGATGGCTAAAGAAGACATCAATTGCACCTTTATTCTGCAAGTGACTGACTTATACAGGTATGCTTGGTTCTTCACTTTCCTAAGCAGGTGTAGTAAATCTGCACTTTTCTAGGGTCTCAAGGCAAAATGATACTAAGATGGAATTTGAAAAAGCAGAAAACAGGCAGCACTAAAAATACAAGCAGGGATCATTCAATATTAAAGAACTGAGAGAATATTTAAACTCTCTTGAACTTGGAAGACTTACGGAAATAAAACTATATGCAAAAAAAATAGCATTAGCATAAATAATAGTAATAGTTGTGCTTCAGTGTAAGAAAAGAAAAAGCTTCATATGAGGTTCATACCTTTGCTCTCAGCATTTCTAGCTTTTTTACTCAGACAGTATCATTGAGCAGAATTATCAGATAATCTACTCAGTAAGACACCACCTCTCTTGAGGTGAAAATTGGAAAAATAAACATACATTCTCTTCTTTATTCTAAGAGACAGGGACTTGAAAGCACTTGCTCTTTTAAGCAATAAGGTTAAAAAGCAAAAACATTCTGTAGGGGAAGAAGTGGCCTTGGAATTTTCTTAGGTCTAATAAATAAAACCCATTTCCTTTTTTACTTTCAATTCTGAATGTGGTTCACAATGATAAAGAATCTGACACAGAAATATTTTTGCATTTACCTGTCTGTAGGTCTCTTTTTTCTGTTTTTTTTTTTGAGAAGGTACAGTATCCTGTCACAAACTCTAATAGTTTATCTGTATGTGTGGGTTTAACATGAGATTTCTAATTTAGACATACGGCTCACCACACCATAACACTTTCCAATTTCTTTTAGTATATAATTACTGAAGATAGGAAATAGGTTTCTTTGCTCCACATCTATGTGTCTGGGTGACAGATTAAACAGTAAGTGTCTTTCTCAAGCACTGTGAAATGCTCCTCTTGATCTCTTTTCCTTCTTTTCACGTAGAATCATTTAGGCCAATAGGAGCTCCACAGTACTGAAAAGCATATGGCATTTGAACAAATTCTGCTGTGTTTCAGAGCAGATACAAGTATCTCATAAAATATCTGTAACTTCCATGGGCAATCCCAAACTGGCTTCTTCAAAAAAGACAAAAATCTGCAGAATTTTCACTAGTACTACTGAGCTTACAGTAAGATAAACCTGCTAGTTAGGTTTGACCTAACAAATGCACAAGTGACAACTCATTACGATTTCCATTGTGGACCTTGCTAATCTAAGGAAAAACATTTTAAGTAGCAATCTGGACTTCTTTGCTAAGCATATAGAGTAAAACAAATGTATATTCCCAAAAGGGAAATTATGCACACTCAGGATGTTTATACATTTTTACATTAGGTGATTATTGGACAAAGAGGAAATAACCCTAAGGAGCCACACACATTATTAGCCAAACACATATTGCCAAACACTGCACTGATGTGGCTACCTTGTGCTGGCTAACTGAGCTGGCTCCTCCTGGGCTAACTTGGGCATCTCTACATGATTTTGCACGTAGCTGCCTTCCTAAATGCACTCCTGTGCTCAAACTGAATCTTTCTCGTTAGCTAGCCCTACGTACTCAACAGATGAAGGATTTAGGTTGTCTCACTCTGCATGCATTTATAGGATACCTAGGTCCTTACCTGCAGTTTTAATTCAGTCTAGGAAAAAACATGCCTCTGAGTTAATTAACTAAGCCACCTAAGTCTTTTAGTCCTTTACTGGCTCTAGCTCTGGATACCTAAAGATAACTTATGATGTCATTTGAAATTTGGAAAACTGGGATTTCTTTCACTGGGTAAGATAATTTGAAACAATACTTGTAGCACTGAAAGTCCTTTTGCTAGCAACACAAGGATTTTCTCCAGCTCTGGTATTGTAGATAATAAGCAGGCATAGGCACACATCATTCTAAGCACTGTGTTGTTACTGCAAGACTGCAAAACTGCTGAAGAATAAAAACAAAGTGGACTGCTAATCTGACAAAAGCCAAATTTCATAAACCTGACAACAAAAAGAAGTGCATGTTTGACATGCTTGCTTTGGGAAGTA